TATCTATCTATCGTTCTGTCTATCTATCTATCTATCTATCTATCTATCTATCTATCTCTCATTCTATCTATCGATCGTTCTGTCTATCTATCTATCTATCTATCTATCTCTCGTTCTGTCTATCTCTCACTCTCTATTCTCAAATTTAGTGCATTTGGATAAAACTGAAACTAATTTCCTTTTCCGTTGACTTCACCAAACCCCCTTAATTTTTCCTTTGTCGCCTTTTCAGTGAATTCACTGTGCTGCCATATTTTCCCCTCATCATTAAACATCATGTTTCAGAACAGAAACATGTGGATTGCAGGAGTTGCCAAGTCTGCGATTTTACCGCAAAGTTGTGCTACTTTTACACTGTTTCTGCGGGTTGTTTTTTAGTCTGCAGGTTAAAGCGATCTCCCCCCACCCCCTGGATCTCTATGCCTTGACCGAGGGCATTCCCAGCAGAGGGGAAAACCATAAAACTAGCTTTTTGGGCTAGTTTTGAATAGCAGTTGGGCTGGTTTTGTTTGACAGACCTGGCAACCCTGAGTTGTATGTTGTTTCATGTTGTCTAGTGTAAAATGTATGCTGTCTCTCCTGTAGTGGTCAGGCCTGAAGGGAAGGGCAGCAGACAGTTTGTCTTCTCTTTGGTGCCTGTGGCTTCGCCTCGCACCGGCCCGGTGCTGGACATCGCAGCCAGTTCACAGGAGGAGCTGAAGGACTGGGTGGTGAAGATCCGCGAGGTCACCATGACCTCTGAAGCCAAGGTCAGCTCCGAGACCGTATCTCCTCTGCAGTAACAGAATTGCTGCGTCCCAATTCGCATACTATCCGTCCTAAATAGTATTCGAAAATAGAATTAGTATGTCCCAAATCATAGTATGTTTAAAAAATTATGCCAAAGATTCCCGGATGGTCTACTACTTCCGGTTAGAATTCGAAGTGCAGAGCAGCTATGACGAAGTAGCATGTCCCAAAGCTTGCCTACTATTCTTCTACATACTCAAAAGTACGTACTTTTTCTTCACAAAAAGAGTACATACTTTTAGGGCATAGTATAAGTAGGCGAATTGTGACGCAGCAAATAAAACTGACCGTCTCCACCTGTTACTAAACCTCTGCTGAGCTTTCTTGGATGCTAAGCCTCTTAACTGTCACCCCCCTTTTTGAACATAGACATGAAAGTACACTATTCAAACATTCATGTTAGGCTTTTGAATACAGACCTAAGGTTGGTCTCTTTAAAAAAAAAAGACGACAATCAGCAGATTATTGCAGTTTTGTGTATTGAGTGAAATCATTAAAAAAAAATGAAAGTATAAAAAAGTTATTCAAGTTTAAATTTACTGTAAAGAAAATGTACTGTACTATTTTTTTTTTGATATAAAATTAAATATTTTACAAAATAGGTTCTAATCCAAAATTGATATAAACTTAAAGCCATGTGTCTAAATAAGTTGTGTTCCAAATTTGAAGGTGATATTAAAAAAATCGAGGTTCCTATGCAATTTTGTTTAGGCGTTATACCACAAATAGCCACCGGGTGCCATCTAAACTCCATTTAATTTTTTTGTCACAAATGTATAAATTTCTCTCTCAGTATTACTTCAATCACAAAATAGACTCAGACCTTTCCAACGATAAGTATTTTGTCAAGATTATAAAAAGTTTTGATTCTAAAAGACCATAATACATTTTGTAATCCGACACCCCCGTGTGCTTGTGATCAAGTTTATCTTAAATTCATGCGGTTTCCTACTTGTTTTGTTTTCTGACACCGACTATATAAAGATGTTTGATATGACTGATTATTTGTTCTCCGTCTTGTAAATCATGTGATCAAATGTATGCAGTTTCCTCAGAATGTGTTTTGCCTTTGGACACGTAGACTGTATGGCAGTGTTTATGACTGATGATTATTTGTTCTCCGTCAGCTTGAGGAGGGTAAAATGATGGAAAGAAGAAAGAAGATTGCTCTAGAGCTGTCAGACCTGGTCATCTACTGCCGACCGGTTCCTTTCGATGAAGACAGTAAGATATGCGACAGTTTTAAAACTCAAACTCACTGATCCCTCAAAGACAGTTGATTCTCCAACTCCTTTCATATCTCAACCAGAATTATCTAATTTGTGAAATTTGTGAAATTGTGAAATAAAACAAACATCAACTAAAATATAAAAAAAGTATACTAAAAAAATGAGAGATAAAACAAGTTTAAGGTGAAGTACTAAAGTACCGTATTGGCCCGAATATAAGACGACCCTGATTATAAGACGACCCCCCAATCTAAAAATGTAGAATGTGTCTAAAATGTAAAGAAAACTGCACACATTTAAAAACACAACAAAATTACTCAAACTTAAACTTTAAAGTTCAAATGAAAACAGCAAGTATAAAAATAAAATCAAATTCAAAATATTAACAAAAACTAACAGTACATCAGTGCTACTAAAATAATAAAGTGGTCCTAATTCACTTTTTGATAACTAAGGCTGGGCCATATAGTTAAAGTATATCTCATTATTTTTCACATTTTTAAACTATTTTTTTTATGTTTGTTTGTATGCTCATTAATAATAACCTAATTAGAATATCATTATTTTTTTGCTTTAATAATTCTGACCAAAACTAAATTCTAAAACAAGGTTAAAATAGTGCAAAGTTGACCGTAATGAACTCTCTAAATTAACACAATGTTATTTTTATATATACAAACTATTGCGTAGCAAAGTTTGCATATATCAGTAAAAATGCAATGTTTAATATGTTAATGGCACACATTAACATGTTTGAATGGTGATAATACATCCTTAAATCTCAGTTTTGAATTGAGTCATTAAAATGGTCAGTTTATACTGATTCATGAAAATAATCATTCAATACTTACGGCTGATGCTTCAATAGCTTGGATTTAAACTGAACGCTTTCATTCTTTCAAGGGGTTACACAGTTAGTCTAGATGCTCTCTAGAAAACCAAATGGCCAAATAAACTGTATTCAAATCAGATATTCATTATATTTATAAATTACTGTGAACGTGCTTTACTTGAAACTTAACCTAGACGTTGTATAAAAACTTGACCGCTTTATATAAAATCCGACCAGCTATCATTATTGAATGGCTCATGACTTCAGGACATTTTCCAAATTGTGACCCTGGAGCACAAAATCAGTCTTAAGTCGCTGGGGTATATTTGTAGCAATAGCCAACAATACATTGTATGGGTCAAAATTATTGATTTTTCTTTTATGCCAAAAATCATTAGGATATTAAGTAAAGATAATGTTCCATGAAGATATTTAGTAAATTTCCTACCGTAAAAATATCTCAAAACTTAATTTTTGATTAGTAATATGCATTGCTAAGAACTTAATTTGGACAACTTTAAAGGCGATTTTCTCGATATTTAGATTTTTTTGCACCCTCAGATTCCAGATTTTCAAGTATTGTCCTATCCAAACAAACCATACATCAATGGAAAGCTTTTTATTCAGCTTTCAGATGATGCATAAATCTCAATTTCAAAAAATTGACACTTATGACTGGTTTTGTGGTCCTGGGTCACAAATCTCTTGAGTGCCTTACTACAACTGTTTTATTTTGTTTGTTTGTTTCATTCTCATAGCGACATGCTCAGCCCAAAGTTAAATGTAATATATTGACACGGTAAAGTGACTTTCTCCCAACTAGCTGCAGCACCTTTTCCCATGGTGCTCTATTGCTTTAACACAGTTTTTCCCAACCCTGTTCCTGTAGACAATACACATTTTGGGTGTCTCGTATCTGACCCATCCGTGTCCGGTCTTGTAGTCTCTATTAACACACTGATGATCTGAATCAGGTGTGCTTGATCAGGAAGAGAGTCGGTGTGTGTCTCCAAGAACAGGGTTGGGAAACACTGCTTTAATATGAAAGGCCATGTAGCTCCTCAACACAAATGCTGAAAGCCTCTTCTGTCTCTCACAGAAATCGGGACAGAGCGGGCCTGTTTCCGGGACATGTCCTCGTTCCCCGAGACCAAAGCGGAGAAGTATGTGAACCGTATCAAAGGAAAGAAGTTCCTGCAGTACAACCGGCTGCAGCTCTCGCGGATCTACCCTCGCGGTCAGCGCCTGGACTCGTCCAACTACGACCCGTTACCCATGTGGCTGTGTGGCAGTCAGCTGGTGGCCCTTAACTTCCAGACCGCAGGTGAGCACAGGCTCTCGCTGGGAAAAATAAACCGTTGAGAAAACTCTCTTGATGCACTAAGACTTTTGAGTTCTCTCATCAATAGTGTTTTACAGTAGTTCTCCTCAGTAAAGATACTTTGTTTGGCCAATGTAAATTTTAGAGCTGGTACAATAAATCGATGCATCGCGAATCGAGAAATGATTCCGCATCGATTCTGAGATTTTCCGAAGGCATCGCGATTCTCTCTTGAATTGATTCTGAGCTTAGTTTTTTACAGCAGATGGCACTGCGTGCTTTAGAAATAGCTGTATTCTGCTTGCTTCCAGTTCCTTGCACATGCACCATTTGAACCTAAAATAATCATTCATAAAGTTCGAAAAGGTTGAAGCGAATTACAAGGATGTTCACAGTGGGCTGTGTTTACATTAATCTCGCATCATA